TACGTAACACTGGGTCACAATACTTGTAAAAGTATGTACCGGGCAGAATTGTGTTCCACGGATCCTGCTTTGAAGCTGGTTGCGTGTACTGATAACAATGGGTTAAGAACGTGTACACAGCTACCTGGTTAGCTTGTCACACAGACCAGAACGGAGGGGATACAGTGAAAATAAACGCAGCACATAAGAGAGAAATAAATATCGTCGGTCATTGGAGACCCCGGGTAAAGGAAGGTAAATAAAAAAAAACAAATGACTCTTTTTATAGCCAAATTGCTATTTGGCAATAATTTGCAGGAAAAGTATTCAGTTAATAATTGATGACATTTAATCCAATCGACGGCTAACATTGTATAAGTATTCTTTCCTCTCTTATTGGGAAACTTCGGTGAATCGTTTGTGCTTTGAAATCTAGCTCAGGTGGTAAACATGAATCGGTCGTTAATGCGCGAAAGAAAACTCAACTTTACGAGACACCGAGGTTGTGTACAGAACAAATTGCTACCAAAATGTCTGCGACACGATTGGTTTTGCCAAACACAACCGTACACAACGAGAGAGAGAACAGGGTGCAGATTAATGTGAAATAATTCATAAATGTGCATTACAAAGAGAAGTCAATAGAGAAAAAATCCCTCGAGAAGTTGTAAACTTCGCAGACGATGACTCTGGCTGACTTACTTTGCCCGAATCGATCCGCATTGGCGTACGGTGAGGTGGTCCGAGTGCCCAGAACATCCATTGAATGTGGAGTCGGAGGAGTTGCCGTGGGTGGTGGTGGTGTATTGTTGATGGTGAACGATTCAGCCAATTTGAGTAATCGCTGATAGACGTGTTCCATTACTTTGCGAATGGACAAAATATCACTCGCAGACAAACAATCACGTTTCATGGACATTAAAGGGACAATTTGACTGCGGGAGAAAAGAAGGGAGAAAGTCAAAACAGACAAATTACCGTCCCTAAAAGTAATTCAAATCGCTGTCTTCCTTAACCATCACCATTGTACAGCGAGATACAATGAAGCGAGCTTCACTGATCGCTGCCAAGCTCACAATGTACACAAATCAAGTGATAAAGCATAAGATGGAGAGGGATGGGGCCTAACTGGAGGGAGGCAAAGAAAAAGAAATTCTATGTTCAACACACAGAGTACACAATCTAAGTGTTCATGCATACGTTTTTCAAGCATTCTGCCTTGTTAAGAAATGACAAGAGCGCCACTGCTGTCGGTTAGTAGCCATATTCTTTGATGTCTCCAGCGAACCAGTTGTACAATCTTTCGGGCCCCAACCTGGAAGACGGGAAACACCGATTCTACCTAATCGCTCATCGTGCATTTCTTCATGCCTCGCTTCCACGTCATCTGTTGACCACCACGCGGTTTCTTCCAACTTGGAGCCGTAACTGCGAATAAGGCGCGGTGCGGCAGACGATAGCTGGACATGCGCAATACGTGTCCTAACCAGCGAAGCCGACTAATCTGAATTCGATGGGACAAAGAATTCTCCATCGAATCATTACCAAATACGCCTCATCTCAGAGTTGCTTACAAGCTCGCTCCATCCAACCCGAGCCAAACTACGTAAACGTCTGTAGTCGAATACTTCAAGACGACCAATATCTTCCACTCGCAAATTTCGAGTCTCGTAACCATAGAGCAGAACTGACCGCACACTGACGCATTATACATGACCATTCAGTTTCAACGAAACATCGCGTCTGCACCAAAGCTGTTTCAATCCTGCGTAAGCTGCTCGAGTCTTGGAAATGCGGGTGGTTACTTCATGGACTATGCTACCGTCATTTGAAACGTAGCTATCTAAGTAGGTGAAACATTCTACTACAGCTAATTCTTGACCATCAGCATCAGCGCTGGGGTAGACGACACCCAGTCTTGTAGCATCACTTTGCACTTTGAAGGTGGAAAGCGCATGCCGGAAGGAGATACAGAACTTGCTAGGCTGTCAAGAGCGCATGGCGCATCCTCCATAGATTCGAACAGGCATACGATGTCATCAGCGTACTCTAAATCGCACAGCTTTTCTCCAGCTGCCCATTCAATACCTACGTTCTGGAGACCAGTAAGTGCGTTCTCCAGAACTTCGTGTACGACGAAATTGAACAGGAATGGCGAAATAGGGCACCCTTGATGGACACCGCTCCTGGTTTCGAACGATTTACTTAGCCCACCGTAAACCTTTACGCTACCAGAAGTATGCAGATACAACGACCGCAATAGGTTTACATACTTCCGCGGCATTCCTTTGCGGAACAGCGACCCCAGAAGAGCTTCACGGTTAACTGAATCGGAGGCTCATTTAAGGTCAATGAACACTGCAATTGTTGGCCGACGATGTGTGTGACGCAGTTCAAGAACTTGACGCAGAGTGAAGATTTGGTCGATGCACCCGCGACCTGGTCGGAATTCGACTTTTCGTTCACGAATATTCCTCTCCCTTAAGGGTGTCAGGCCGCG